ATACCACTTTGTGTTGGTCTTTCACATTAAATTCCAGTGAAATATATTTATGTTTGTGGTTGTAATGTGACAAAATATGGAAAAGTTCAAAGGGTATGAATACTTTTGCAAACCACTGTAGCTGTATACCACCATCAGTGTGTGAATAGGTGAATGTCTGAAATGTAAAGCGCCTTGGGGTCCATGTGGACTTGATAAGGCGATATATAAGTTCAAGCCATTTACCATTCTTGCACGATTGGTGGAGTTAGGTCCCAGTGACCCTGCATGAAGAGACGGGTAAATTAAGTGGACTGATGTGTGAACATTTACCAAATTTTTTATATTAGAGTTGTTTTAAGTTGGTTGTAATCATCCATGTTTGGACTACCTGTTACCCCATCACTAAATTCAGAATTAAACTATCTTTAAAAAAAAGTACACGTATAAAGAGTTATCTACAGCAAGTAAAATCCTTATTGTTCATACATTTTCCATCACTCCCACCTCCCAAAAAATAAATAACTTATCAGTTTAAATCTCAAACTTTTATTAAACATTTTATTAAACTGAATTTTGAAATGCACTTTGGTGCTGCAAAATGAAAAATGCAAGTTTTATATGGAAAAGAAAAAATGCTGTTGGTAGAATGTTTACAAAGAGGAAATTATTTTCAGAGGTTCAGGAGCACAAAAACACATCTTTAGTACTGCAGTCCTTGTCTTTTACCAATAATTACTACTGTGCTTTCATTTACACATTTCTCTGCAGTCTGTCATTAAAGTGAATGTTGTTAGGGCTCTGATCCTCATTCTATTTTTTCCCAACATCCACAAAACAACAACAATCAAAAATTATTTATATATCACTCAGTATTGTTGTATGCCTGGTTACGGTACTTTATGAACAAGTATTTCAGTGCAGGCCAAGCTCATTTAATGTAAATACATTGCATTTTACTGTAAAATGGAGTATAAAATCAGAGTTTTGCTGCAGTTCAGGGAAAATGGGACAAATGTCTCTGTTGTTCAGACAAGATTCAAGATGAGACACTTTTATGCTGTTTGTAGAGGAAGTTTGGACATTAGGGTGGGGATGATGGTGGGATTGCGAACTTGAACATAGTAAAAAGCAGCTCCTCCGGCCATGAGTGTCAAACTCAACTTGATCAGACGTCCTGTAGATGAACTCTCATTCACCTCCAGCTAGAGGAGACAGAAAAATTATGGCCTGAATTTTTACAGAACTAGTGTCCCTTGTATCCCAGAAAATGCCTCAGAACTAAATAATAATAATAATAATAATAATAATAATAATAGTTTCATACCTTTCTGGTTTTTAGGGGTTGGTACATGCGGTCTAACTGAGTGAAGATTGCCTTTCGGGCCCCCTTCCATTTCCCTGGTCCCATTAAGCGGTATTGGTAAGCAGTGACAGGCCCCCAAAAAACTTCCTTGAACAGTGGGAAGTCTGTGAAGAGGAGCCAAAGGAGGCTTGGTCGCACTCCAATATCCTTGGCTAAGTCATCCATGTACTCAACAAAGTCCACCTGCAGGGGTGTCAGCTTTGACACCACGTAGCTTTAAAAAAGTCAGAAGAAATAAAAAATTAAATATACTCTATATCAGGGGTTCCCAAACTTTTCCATGCATTGTTAATGACTAAAGAACATCAACTTTTAAAATGTTGTTTTTCACTTTTATTCACTATTCAATAATTATTAAATCAAACATATTTAGATACTGTATTGTTTTCCCACTGAAAAAASACACCTCTCTTAAGCTCTCTGAAATGACATTTAAATACAATATTATAAATTATATCTTAAATAATGATTGAAAAACACATTCAATTTTTAAAAATATATTTAAAGCAGTTATTTATTTAT